CCTTGCCACCAGAGTTGGTGGTCGAGCAGCTCTTGTGGAGAAAGTCCTCGCGAGGCACAATCCGCCGGATTATCTCGTCCTGAGACGTGGTGCCACTGTGCGTTAGGTAGCGAGGTTTGGATCTCGCTCACTCGGTTAGCCACGTACGTCTTCCAATTGGCGGGATGGCCGCGAATCCAGCCCAACACCACCTTGGCATCGGTCCAGCAATAAAGCGGTGCTTCCCTCGCCTCGAGAGTGAGCTGAACGGGAGCTGCCAGCTGAACTAGGAGCTTGGCAGCGCTTAACTCGAGCCTCGGTAGCGTCACCTGCTTCAAGGGAGCGACTTTGGTTTTGGCGGCCACCATTCTGACTTCGACCCTCCCGCTCTCGTCTTCGGTCCGCACGTAAATAACGGCGGCGTAAGCTCGTTCCGAGGCGTCCGAAAAGCCGTGGATTTCAATCCGGCGTCCCAGCGGGTCAAACAGCCGCGCCGTAAGCGAGAGCGCCGCTCGCCTCGAGAACGTCTCGACTCGAGGTAGCCGAATAGCAAAGGCGAAGCAGTCGTCCCGAGGATGCCAGCGCAGGCCCAGGGTGAGGTGGCTCTCGCCGGGTTGCCAGCCCCGGGGTTCCTGCTGTAGTCGGTCTTCCACGGGTAGATCCTCGAGCAGCGCGTCCTCGTTTGCAGACCATTTTTTGAGCGGGAAGCCGCCCGCCGTACAGATCTGCACGAGTTGTCGTTGGATGGCCTTGGCTGCCGGAATAGTAGCCGCCCCCGACAAGACGTCGTCCATGTACGTCTCGTCCTCCAAGACGGCCGCGCCGAGCGGCCACTTCTCTCGCTCGTCGGCGGCTAGCTGACGCAGCGATTGAATGGCTAAGTAGGGAGAGCACGTCAGGCCGTAGGTGATCGTATTTAGCCAGTGATCCTGGATCTCCTCGCTAGGATCGTTCCGCCACACGATGATCTGCATGTCCCTGTCTTCCGGATCCACCACGATCTGTCGGTACATTTTCTCAATGTCGGTAGCGAAGACAAACCGATGTCGACGCCACTTTATGATAAGAATTATTAGCGGCGGCAACAGATTAGGACCGACCATTAAATGCTGGTTGAGGGACTCTCCGGAGGGAACGGTGGTCGACCCGTTGAAGACGACCCTCAATTTCGTTGTGGTGCTCGATTCTCGCATCACGCCGTGGTGCGGAAGGTAGCAACGCGGTTTGTCGTTCCCGTTCGCGTTCGGAGGAATCGGCGTCATGTGCCCCAGCTCGGTATACTGACGCATGAAATCGCGGTATAACGCATGGAAGGAGGCGTCCCGCGCGAATCTTCCTTCCATGTGCTTTAACACCCGCACTGCTACGCGACGCGTGTCCGAGACATCCGGCAACGGACTTTTTACGGGAAGACGCACGACGTACCGACCGGAGGCATTGCGTCTATGCGTGCGAGCGAAATGCTCCGCGCACTCCCGATCTTCTTGGCTGAGAATCACGCTAGACGTAGACGGAATTTCGTCCTGCTCCCAGAAACGGCGAACCATGTCCGCTAGATCCTCTTCGACCCGGCATTGGAAGGCCTGTGCCGAATGGCCAGAGCTCAATTCCCCGACGGAGCCCGAGATTATCCAGCCCAGCGTCGTATTCTGGGCGACTGGCTCGCCATTGCCACCCCGACGGAGCCCTTGTCGGAGGATGGCGGCGTAGACGTCGGCTCCGAGTAGCACGTCTATAGCATCGGACGCGGAGTAGTCCGGATCTGCTAGACTCAGGCCACGAATGTGCGCCCAGGACATCGCGACGGCTGAGGTTCCACTCGCGTAAGCAGAGAGACGAGGGAGAATAATGGCCGAAATCGCCATTGCTGCTCCACCCGACCGCGGCGACATTGACAGCGAGACACGGCCTCGCGCCGTGCAAGTCTTTTGTCCGCCGATCCCGAAAACCGAAATCGACACGGGCAATCGCGGAAGTTTCAATTGCTGCGCGAGTCTTTCGGAAATCATCGAAATCTCTGATCCCTGGTCAACTAAAGCGCGCGCGGAATGCCAGGCGCCGAAATGATCGGCGACGCGAACGCGAGCGGTGGCGAGGAGCACGGCCACCGGCTTAACAGGAGCTCCGCGTACCACATGCGACGTCTTCGCGATCTCGGTTTCGCGGCACGCGTCGTGGATCGAAGAATGGTGACGGGCATCGCACGCCGAGCAGTTTTTCTTCACGACGCACTCGCTCACCTTGTGTCGACCGAGACAATTGAAACATAGGCTCTTTTCTTCGACGAACTGCCGTCGCTCTTGAGCCGTCTTCTTTTTATATTCGTCGCAGAACATTAAAATGTGCTCCTTAGTACAGAGCGGGCAGCGGCCACGCTTGCCCTCGGATTTACCCCCCTGTTTACTCGCGAGATGACTCCGAGCCGATTTCGCCGTTCCGTTTCCCGACTTATTCGCGGCACTGTCCACTCTAACGGGTAGCATCGATTCCAACGCGTGCAAGCGGCGGTCGAGAAATTGTTCCAGTTCGAAATACGTCGGCGGCTCGTTGGTCTCACTAATTAAGGTCTCCCACTCGCGACGCGAACGCGGATCGAGGAGTTCGACAGCGAGGTACACGAACAAATCCTCGGAGCGACTCACGGGTCGGCCGATCCCGTCCAGCGAACTGACGGTTGCCTTCACGCCGTGGAATATCTTTCGCAATTCGACCGCGGACTCGCTCTTCATTTTCGGTAGGGAGACGAAATTCGCGAGATATGCGCGCACTAGCAAGCGTTTATTCTCGTAATACGAACTAAGCAGGTTCCACGCGCGTTCGTAATTCTCACCGGTCGTAGTCACGTTCCGAATAAGCAATTCAGCCTCACCTTTTAGGCAGCTCTTTAAATAATGTAGCTTTTCTACCTGCGTCGCCGCCGTGTCCTTGCCGACGATGGACAGGAACAGGTCCCGGAACGCTGGCCAGTCCTCGTACTTCCCGGTGAACTCAGGCAGCTGAATGCGAGGCAGCGCGGTGCGAGACGTCACCGTCGCCGTCTCTTGACCGGCCGTCGAGGATGCGGCGTCTTCCTTCGCCTTCAAGGACCGTACGAGGTCCAGGAAGATGCCCTTCTGATGTAGATACGCTTCCTCGGCGAGAGCGAACACGCTTTGCTTGACGTAGTCAAGCTCCTTAATTCTTTCCCAGGGCGTGTCGAATATCGACTCATGCTGGGCTTCGAATTTAGCCCAGTTTGACTCCAGTCCTTGGAGACGAGCCTCAGCCACTCCCAGGGTGACCTTGGTAGTTCCCGCCTTTTTCAAGTTCTCGTAAGCACGCGAAATGCGGCCGTGCAGCTCGGTTTGCGAGCGAATCAGAGTTTCGGTGTCGATAGGCATTGTTCTTCGGCGGTCACTCGAAGCACGAGAAGCTCACCGTAATTCCCACTCACACACTTCGCGGATACCGGTCACGGAAATCCGGCTCGAAGGACCAAAAAATGTGCGCGAATGGGCTTAGGATTTAGAGTTCAAA